ACGTGTGCTACTTTGACCTGAATGCAGATCTCCTCAATAAACTTGACCGACTTCTGAATAACTGCATTCGATTCGTTTTCAATCTCCGCAAGTATGACCATGTATCCTCTTACCGTGAACAACTTCAATGGCTACCTATACGTCAACGACGTTCCCTAAGAGCACTGACTACACTTTATTCTTTCCTGAACTCTCCTTTTACTCCGACTTACTTATCCCATCATTTTCAGTATCTATGTGCAGTCAGCAACAAAAACCTTCGCTCTTCGCAAAATCGACTTCTTGAATGTCCTTCTCACCGTTCTGACTTCATGCACTCTTCTTTCTTTATTCAGTCTATTCTTCTGTGGAATGCGCTTCCTCTCGAAATCAGGTTGGCTAAAAGTCGCTCTGTATTTAAAAACAAAGCTCGTGAGCATATATTAAAAAACTTGTCTCGGTAGATCAATTCCATCGTTTTGTATTAGAGTATATTTATAGGTATGTATGTATATATATATATATATATATATATATATATATATATATATATATATATATATATATATATATATATATATATATATATATATATAACATTTTGTATATAATTTAGTACTGTATTTAACTTATGCAAATACATTACATAGTTTGTAAATATTAGCGTTTTCCTTGTTGGATATCTCTCTGTGCACCTACCTAATTTTCTCTGTACCACCCCAAGGTTGACTGGGAGATAATGCTTTTAGCATTAAGTCCGCCATTGTACTATTTGTGCATAAAGGGTAAATAAATAAATAATTATACTACCGCGTCTGAACCACCTGTGTAAATTTGGGTACTTCCCAAAAAATCTCCCTGTATGCAATACTTACAATATCAAATCTAACTAAATTACATATTATCTAATAAACCTAATCCACCCGGCATGATGATGTATGGGGACCCCTAAAGTTTTCACAGCAAATGGCACATATACATATTCTGAGCAAAGAGACTAATTAATTATTTCTTTTTTCAGTTCTTAGTTCTTTTTTCATTCATGATTTGCCGTATACGAAAGTCGACAGATCACAACAAATCACAACAGAACCCGGTTTATTAGCCATCTAAAATCTGTATTAAACCTATAAATACCCCAGGCGAATGCTTCAGAAAGTGTTGCATCGATCCATACGAGCGGCTTCTATTAAACAGGCTCAAAGAGCACATGTTTTTTCAACGGCCTTCTGCCGGCGGAACAATTCGGCTTTTGTGCTAAACATTCCTGTCCCGATAAATTATACCGCCTAACGGAAGATATCATAAAAGGCTTAAATCATCCTAAACATATTAGCACGGGGGCTCTTTTCTTCGATGTCGCAAAAGCATTCGACAAGGTCTGGCACAACGGCTTGCTTTATAAGCTGTACACACTCAAAGTGCCAAGTAGGCTCGTACACACCATCCGGGCCTTCGCATGCACGACCTTCGCCCACACGCACATTCCTCGCTTGTACAAGTTGCAATTAGTACAAAATAAGTTCATTCGCCGCCCAACCGGTGCGCAGTGGTATCAACGCAACGTCGACCTGCATTGCCTGCGTCGACGATTCGCGAATATTTTAAAGACCTGATCAAACGGTTCTTCGATAGAGCCGAACATCCCAAACCTCTGGTGATAAGCGAAGCAAATTACCAACCCAACACAAACGCGAACGTCAACAAGCTTCGCTCACAGCCACCGTTTTGCTAATTGCACAGTCGACGCCCATCGGGGTTTCGGCCCGAAACACGACCTCGATGGCCCTTAGAGGACACACCATAGTTAAACACACGCATGAGCATATGCGTGGCCCTGCTGACAGCGGAGGGCCTGAAAGCAAAAACGTTAGTTAATAAAAGATACAAGAAGTAATCGAAAACTTCTCCCGTCACATGATTCGTCGCTTATCGCCTCTAAGCAATCCGCTAAATCAAAAACTCACATACAAACAACACATTAGTACTGTAGCCAATAACTCAAACCTCATCATGTCTCACTTTTTATGCCTCACACGCGCATGTAGTAAGATCACACTAAAACCCAAATTTAATTAATATAAAATATGTATACGTCTATCTCATATCCCCGCGACTCGCTTGAAAACGTTTTAAGTCCAAAATTGTCAAAAATAATTATATAACAAAATAATTTCTTCGTTGCACACCCAGACCAGCGCTTCACGCTCTATGCTATCGTCTAATCTGATTGCGTATGCGGTAGATGCGATGTGCGTATGTAAATGTATGCTGGAAAGGATATAACAATAGATGCGCCAAGCATTGCTTCAAATGCTAAATAACAATGTAGAAAGAAGGCGTTAAGATTTTCGTCGCTGTGACTATCAGCCGTTTAGCTCAGTGGCTAGAGCGTCAGGCCGCGAATGCCGAAGACGTGGGTTCGATTCCCACAGTGACGACAATCTTTTCGTACTTTTTCTACATGTTTTAATGTTCAATCTTAAGTGCAGAGATGAGCACTATAAAAAAAACTTTAAAACTCTATATGTGTGTTCATTTATTGTCGCGGTTGTAACGACACGCTGTACGTGTATACAGAAATCTGTACCAAACCGTTTCAGTATATATGTCACTATGTACCAAACTGACTTAACATTGGCAAGCACAGATTATATAACAGTCACAATAATAAACCATAAACCATATTACCATATCCACTTGCTATTAAAACTTCTCAAACGTCAATTACTGATAAGGTCTTACCTAGTTGGTTGGTAGTACCTTGGTTGTACCAATTTTGCAAAGAAATGGCGGAGAAATATGGATTGTCCCAAGAAGAATATAACCTTGTTCTAAAACAGGCAGCTAGGCGTGCAGAGTTAAGAAGGGAATTTCTCAAACAAAGAACTAACCCATGGAAAAATGCTGCTGAAGCTGGATACGTCGTAAGTGCGGTTCTTACGTAATTTTATTATTTATAAATAAACCTTATTTGTTTCAATACCATTCACATAATATAAATGCAAGCAGATTAATATTTATTTGTAGTTTGATCCAGCGCTTCAGAAGTTTATGTCAATGAAAGCAACTCAGTTTGATAATTTCAAACCAAATATGAGGAACAGTTTGTTTGGATTTCTCGTCGTGGTAGTGCCCATGTTCACATACGGATATTTTGTCTGGAATGAACGTAACGGTCGGGAGCAGAAGATCAGAAGTGGAGAACTCCGTTACAGGGACAGGATGTTCAAACTTGCTTAAATGTAAATATTATAGGCAAAGATAATAGCAATATAGTATTTAATTTCTACCTTTTTTTTATTATTCCATGAAACTGGCTGGTAAGATTTTGGTGTTATATACAATTAAACATTAATCATTTTTAAAATAAAACTGAATATAGAACTGTATTTATTGTAAATTAAAAAAAAAACTAAAATATTTGTGGTGCTGCAAAAATAAAGTTATTAAATAATGACAGATAAACTTCTCTCTGAAACAGAGTGTAAAATAATAAAAGCTCAAATGGAGAGGAGAGCAAAGTATAGAAAAGAATTCTTAAGATTGAGAACTGATCCTTGTAAGCATAGTACAAATGCAGGCCATGTTGTGAGTATTGGAACCTTTTGTTCGTAATATAATTTTTTATTGGGAAATAGTTTTATGAATCATAACTCATATCTGATAGTAATGGGATAGGTCAGAAAAACAAATTATTGAATAAGGTATGTTGTCTATAGCTTTTTAATTTTCTTTATTAATACTGTGTTCAAAGATAAAATCTTGCCACAGTCAGATCTCAACTTCAGAGATTCCTCTAGAAAAAATATATGTTTTCTTACTTAATGATGCTATGCCTAAATTAGCCACCACCTGGTGCCGCTCTAATTAAACCCCACCTACATAAGTTATATGTGGACAAATACTGCTACAGTTGTTTTCTTTATTTTACGCGAATTAAATACACATTAAATGAAACTAGTTTACAGGTTTGTGGATGTGTGTGGATTTTTACAGGACAGACTGTCTGTCCCGTGACCATGAACGCTGGAAAGGGTTCGAAATGTCTGAAGTTCAAAATAAAATCCGTAAACTAGTTTCATTTAATATGCACTGCTACAGTTGTCATTCTAGAAAGCTTTGAAAAGGATGTACAATTTTCTCCTTTTCAGTTTGATCCAGCTCTGCAAAGGTTTTTGTCAATGAAAGCCTGTCAAGTTGATTATTTTTATGCCAATCCTAGAACCATTAGATCAGGGATATTAATGATTTTGCCAATGTTTCTCTATGGATTCTGTGTGTACACACAACGCACTAAGTTTGAGGAAGATTGTCGCAGTGGTTTACTTAGGTACCGGGATAGAATATTCAAATTACAATAAATGTATCAACTATAAATTTAATGTTTTCTTTAATTTATATAGCAGTATTAATGCAAAAAAAATTGGATATATATGTATAGGCACTAGTCTACTGCCTATATAAAGATTATTTCATCTTTTAACAGAAACTTAATAGTTCTAATGTGCTGTGAAACATTTATTTTTTTTCATTTCTACTGGAAGTTCTTAGTAAAATTTAAAAAACGCTGGAACTGTGATAGCTAGCTTTTAAATAAATATACTCTAAGCAACCTGATTTCAAATGCTGGTGCCGACCCTACTAAAATTGTTAGCATTCTTATCATACTTTCAATATAATAGCAAAAAAATATTTCGAAGATGAGAAGTCCGCCAATCCATGGTAGGGCCATGCTGTCAAGAAAAAGTCTTTACTTTAAAATAGTCAACAGTTAATCCATAGACTAGTTTTTTTGAGTTCTGTGGGTACAAACATACAGAAGCTAAAATTTTTTATGTATAAAGATGAGGTAACTGTTTTGTTAACCTTTAATTGCATGTTTTATATATTGCAACATTCCAACTGAAATAAAAAAAAAATGTGTGGAACAAACTAAGAGACATAATACATATTTTAATATTATGTAATAACTTAAAACAACACTAGATATTGTAACGGTAATGTAAAATTGAACATTAACGTTCATCCAGAGATTTGTCCCGGGCAATGACAGAGTCATCAAATTTGACCATGTATGTAGTTCCCTTATGCCAGTGAGCGGTGACTTTTGCTGGCTGAAAAAGAGTAAAAAATGCATAGTTAGGTTACAAACGAAGAATAAATTGTTAGTTCAATCAAGAGATAGTGCTATTGCATAGTGTTGCAAGTGCAACAGACACTTTGTCAGTGAGCTTCTTTTGTTTCCACAACTTCTATAATGAGGACATACATCATTTGGGGACTTATTTATGAAGAAGTATAATTACAATAGCAGCCAAACATGTCTGCATACATCTCAATGTTTAGTTATTATTTGAATGACTTTATGATATAAAAAGTAAACCAAGGATGCCTGTGGCTTTATTATTCTGAACACACTATGTTCAAAGGACAGATTACATTATGACGACATACTACCTACCTAGATTGATTAAAATAATTCTTTAATGGTCCAATTAACCAAGCTAAGAGTATGATTGTATAAAAGAGATGTGTTCATTTATGGTGCCTAATTCTGAGTTTGGTTAAGTAGTAAGTGATTTCAATTGTGAACATACAGTTAATAATTTTTTAGAGATAAAAGTATAAGAGTCTCATTCTCTTAGGATAATGTGCATTAAATAAAAATGATGACAACTTACAAAACCACTTTTGGTAAGAACAGCTTCTATGATGCCTGCATTGAATGTGGCACAATTTAAGGAGCCCTTATCTTTCGGGACACTGATGAATTTATTCACCTGGAAAAATGTACCATAATAATTTACCAATAATCATTATCACAATCCTCCTGCCTCATGCCATTTAGATTGGGTCAGCAAAACATGTGAAATCATGTTATTGGAATTGGCTACATTTTTACACCAAACATCATAGTTTTACAATTGTGTCACTGTACAAAAATTTACTGAAAACTGTGGGCTTATATTATATGCAAAATACAAGATACAAGGTTCATTTTTAAGCAATAGTATCAGATTTAATAATTTTTTTTATGTGAGTATGTGGCAAGTTGAATGGTACGGCAGTTCATCTGATGTTTAGTGATAATCGCCGCCCATGGTCATATATAAAACACCCATAGGGTTCCAGAAACATTGTCAGCCTTTAATAAAGTGGACCCCAGCTATGTCACTCGGCAGATGAAACAGAAATATGACACTTTCACTTCACGCGTGTCTTCTGGGACTGGTACTGATCAGACCTGTCCGTTTGTGCCCAAAGCTGTGTGTGGCCCTAACACAGTTGAAATATGTAAAATGTATGCAAAATGTACTCTGAATGCAAAATGCCTTTGGGCAATAAGTCCACCTTTAATCTTTTTTTTAAAGGGTAGCCATAAAGCATAAATAAATAAATGTTAAAAAAAATCCCAACTTTGAAAATCAAGATAGTCATTACATCTAATCAATCATAGTATACTTACTAAGGCATCTTTTTCTATTATGTAGTAAGTTCTTTCATCATCATTAGCATGCTCCAATTTGTCAGCCTCTTTACCAAATAACACCTTTAAAATTGGTATTAGATTTAAATTAAATATTGGTATTTAGATATGAATTATTATATACACACAGATATTCATTTTTGATGATAATTAGGTGTAAATTATGTTTATCAGCATGTAGCTGGGGTGGCTTTGGACACATGTGGATCATGAGTAGAAGACTGACAAGTGGCTTTCAGCCGTTATCATATATATAACATACCTAAACTTGCTTAACAGAATTTTATTATGAGAATAGATGCTGATAGACACAATCCAGAATATTTAAGTATCAACACAAAAAATAATTCTGCCCTCATGACCTTCAATATTAAGGATTATCTATAAGGTCTTACCTTCCATAATGTAGATTTAACAAATAAAAGCATATTCAACAATTTGATTTCTCTTTTGCTATTCCTTTCCCTGACAAAATATAGATCTAATAGACGAGTGCCCACATCTTGACCAATTTCTGATAATCTGAAAATGTTCCTCGGATTTATCATTTAAGAATTGTCAGAATCATTTATTGTAAAGCCACCAAATGTGGCTCTGAAATCTAATTCATTCCTATAATTACATATTATCCATATTCATAAAACATTTCGCTGATAGTCGCAAATAGAACAAAAACACATTGCAGTAAAACAATATTCCTATGTGGTTAGAGAAAGGAACAATATATTTAATAAACTTACTTTGTTTGTAGTTCATGAATAGAATGTGAACGGTTTTGACAATATTGCACGATTTCTGAAAACAAGAGGGCGTATAAAGCTAGGGAAATTTCACCTTTGCCTTTACTTAACGGCTTATCTAGTATTGATGTTTTAGATCTACTAGAAGACATTATTATATAGTCACTTTAGGAAACAATTTGATAGTAATAGAATAAAAGGCCAAAGAACTATCAGAGAAAATTCAATTCAATGAAATGTCAATTTGACATTGTCAAATGAATTAATGACATTGAGTTGACATTAATGAGACAGTGTCGCCAACACTAAGCTTTTATTCCCGTAATGCTTCAGCCGCACCCGCGCGTATCATCCCGAAGCTATAAAGGTATGTTTTGACATTAAAAAGTTATAGTGATAAAAGCTGTGGTCATATTAGCGGCTTTTGGCTTCGATATTTTGAATCAAATATCTTGCAACAACCCATTAGCACCATTGGGTTATTGCACGGTAATAATATAATTGGTAATCGATAAGGTAATTGATAAATAAAGATTAGATTATGGAGTATGATGTAGTCTCTTATATAAGTATGGATACATAGTTATGTTTAATGACGTGCAAAATGTTATTATGATGGAATGTGACAAGAACAAAAATGGAAGAGAGCGCGCCGGCTTAGCCTGGCTCAGTTTTGTACGCGAAATGATGCTCTGCGGCTAGTACAGGCGACCAGTGGCATACCCGCGTGATAAAATCCCGCCGGTCGTGCTGCCGGCGTACTGTGTAGTATTACTAATACAACACATGAATAGTGCAGTCTTAGTGTTATCGCCACAAATATCAGATGATACTAAAAAACCGGCCAAGTGCGAGTCAGACTCAAGCACGAAAGGTCCCGTCCCATTATCTATAAAAATGGATAAAAATCATGTCTGTTGTATGGAAGCCCCACATTAATATGTTTTATTCTGTTTTTTAGTATTTCTTGTCATAGCGGCAACATAAATACATCATCTGTGAAAATTTCAACTGTCAACTATCACAGTTCATGAGATACAGCCTGGTGACAGGCGCACGTAGTGATTACAGTCTCTTTGGACAGGCGGACAGCGAAGTCTTATTAATAAGGTTCCGTTTTACCCTCTGGGTACGGAACCGTTAAAAATATGTTGTGCTGTTTCAGAGTTCAAACAATGACTTGATGAAGGTACGTGCTTGTGACTTAATCGCGATACATATAGCACTGGACATTATAGCTTTACGAAATTAATTTTCGAACACAATTTATATTCCGAAAACAATTAATTAAGGAAAAATAAAATATTCACATACATACAAGATGATCGAAAATAATTACGTTTTTAGTCTTATATTTCATCTTTCGTCTACAGGGTTCCAAAAGTTGCAGCAGAGTTGCAGAGTACACGACCTAAATGCATGTATTTTATAAATGGTTTATGGTTTATTTATTTAATACCACAACTAAAATATTTAAATTTAAAGATAAACAATTTTTGAAAAAGATTTTAAAACATGCTTAGTTGTGGATTCCTGGTGGCTGCAGTAGGTATTGAAAACCCGTAAGGCACAGTCCACCAGGTCACCACCCTTTGGAATCTGTTATAAAATCAGGTATTAAAAATACACAATTAAATAGCTTGTACACATTAATGGAAAACAAAGTAATTAAAAGAAATTATACATAAAGAAATACAACAATTAAACTAGAACACCAAAATTTAATAAGAAAAAACTATCCTATATGATTGGAATATAATAATTCCTATTGGGAGCCTTCATGCGTTGTGATGACAATTTGTGTATGCGAGTGTGAACGTGTCATGTGTAGTGTAGAGTTGTGTAGTTAGATTTGTAAAAGCACTATATCCTAACCTCCAACAGTTGTTCCGTATCATCATACGTTTGCTTAAGAAGATATTGCTGAAGAACATGTCTGATACGGTAATTATTTAAGGGGTATAAAGACAATTTTTTATTTAATTTTTTGTACAGATATGGACCCAAAAAGATAAAAAACCTATGACTAAAACAGGTTTTGAAAGGTAAGGATTTAACAACGAGGTGGTTTCGTGGCGTTAGCTCTTGTGAATAATATGTTAGTGAGTGTTGTTTAAGGGTTATAGACATTATGAAGAGCTGCCTTACCGTTAAAAGTTGACATTGTTCATAAAGTTTATATGTAGGATAAATTCGGGGCTTAAAAAACATACCTTAAGTATCGCTCTTTGTGCACGTTCAATTTGAATTAGATGGGTCTTAGCAGTGCCACCCCATGATGAGATGCAATAATTAAGTATCGATTGGCAGAAAGCAAGGTACACCATTCTTATAATGTCTTTGTCTGCAGATTGACGAAGTTGTTTAAAAATATATATTAATTTGCGTACTTTGTGTGACAAACTGAGAACATGCTCTTTAAAAGTGAGTTTAGCATCAATAACTATTCCTAAATGATATTAATAAATATTTCTTTTTATTTTATATGGTATGTATAAAATGAGGGACGTCCAATCTTTCTTTAACAAAACTCGACAAAACGATCAGCCATCTCTTGAGAAAATCACGAATGAAACGAAATTCTTTAATTCCCCAGTTGAAGTCCCAGTGTCAGTTTTATTACCAAGTAAGTCTTTTGACCAGTCATTACAAAATTCTATTAAACAAATTCCGCAGTCAAAGATACATAATTTAGGTTCACTTCAGAGTGGACCATGTCAGACTCAAAAATTGACTTTCCCGCACAAAATTTGGAGAAAATCTACGAGCGTTTAACGCACAAAATTATGAGAAATATACTGGGCTAGAATATAGCATAAATGAAAATAGAGCAAACTATATTGTATGTAGACTATTCGGGTGGGAAAACCGCGATCGAAAAGGTTATCAGAGGCTCCTTAAAATCACGCGCAGTCTGCTGCACATCACCAAAGTAGGGAAATGCATTATACATATTTACATCAAGTATCAACTGTCCATGAGCAAATGGTTACCCAACATAAAAAGGAAATTGTGCAAAGTAAAGAAAATCTATTAAAAAAATAGATATCATACTTAAAATGACCACTGTTTTTCTAACTCAAAACGGGACATTGGTTTACAATGAAAATAAACATAATTTTCTTTATTCCGAAAAGATTAAAAATTAATAGATACAAAGAAAAAAAATCATCAGTTCACAATTTTTTACTAAAAAAACATTGGTATGTTTTTAAATATATTTATATTTCTCAGAGGAACAAATTTGTTTTAATAAAGAAGGTGTCGATTTTAAATAATAATAAAATTTGGCATGTTTCTTTTACGTTGTATGTGACCTTTGTGCCTGTGACCTCCAGTTCTGAAAGCAATGCTGATAGCATTGCTTTCAGAACTGGAGCTGTTCAATATCACCAGCACCACCATGGGAAACACTAAACTGTGCGACACTTTTCGCATCTGACATCCTATGAGTGTTAATTTGCTTAATAAATGGGTATTTTGTTTGTAGGTTGGCATTAAATGAACACTTAGGTTTCGGCATAACTATAGGAAAAATTTCAAAACAAAAAAACTTCAAATTATCTACAAAACTATTTAACGAACATTACACAAAAACAAAAAGAAGTCAGAATACATGCGCGTGGCTAGCCTATTGAAAGAAACAAATGACACGATTGATGAACAAAGTGAAAGAAAAATATGCGGGGAATAACCCATCGCGGTTCCGCGCTGCTCAGAATCATGTCTGACGAGCGTGGTTTTAAAATTTCGCGCGGTTTCGGAAAACGGGATAATTTTGCGTCCCGAAGATTTGTTCGGGGAAAAAGGGACAGCTGTCCGAGAAAAGGGACATTCCCGTTCAAAACGGGACGTATGGTCAGTTTAATCATACTATATCTAGTACGTCAAGGATTGCGTTTAAGGAGTCACTGTGAAACAGCTGAATCAAAAAAGATGAGAAACTTTTTAGAAATTATTCAACTGTTCGCTTAATGCAATAAAAAATTTTACAGACACTTAGAAAAACATGTAACCTATTGCATTGCGAACTATTTAATCTAAGCTACAAAAATAAATTATTTAAGCTACAAATCTATTCTTTTTTTAAAACATTAAACTTACTTTAGGATAACTTTATGCTGTGTTGTAAGGATGTTGTACAAACATAAACTTCACACGGACAAACATCCAGATGCGATACAACTATCTGTGGGTCACACAAATAGTTGTCCCGTGTGGGAATCGAACCCACGACCCCCGATGCCGAAGCCAATACCTTAGCCACTGCGCCACGGAGTCATCATATTTACTCAACATAATGGATCAGATCACAATAGAAGGAGCCGTAAATAAAATTAAAGAATGTGTTATGTTTTCTATAATAGCAGGTGAAGCAAGATGTTATAAAGAAGAAAAAATGTAGATAGTTTTGAGTTACGTAGCAGGTTTGGTAGTTGAAGAGTCGTACATCTCAGGTACGACTCTTCAACTCAAAGAGATCTAGCTGCGATGGTTTTATATTTTTAAACCAATGTCGTTTGGATAATTTGCCCATTTTATGGCGCAAGTGTAATGTCGGGTAAACAAAGGTTTGAAAGCGATTATCAAGGAGAAGTATCGTCATGTCATTTACGTGCATTGTCTTGCGCATAAGCTTAATTTGGCCGTTCTTATCCAGCCAGTTTTCAAAATATCATGTCAAATTAAGGGTTTTTTTAATAATTTGGAAGCACTATATATCCATTTTTCACATCCTGGTAGTCATGCCCATCTCAAGTAAATCCAAGATTCCCTTGGTATTAAAAGTGGTCGCGAAGTTAGCAGTTTCATTACCACACGATGGATCTGTCGATATGAAAACCGTTAAGCTGTTATAAACAGTTATGATGCTCTTAGAACAGCAGGGGAGGAAGAAGTTTCGCAAAATAAAGACAAACATGTGGCGGAAGCCGTAGAACTATTGCCTGCAATATCAAAGCCATAATTCACAGTATGTCTAATTGTTTACACGTGTTTCATTCGGTATTATTAATGATACATGTGTTAAGTAAATGCTTTCAATGTAAGAATGCCACTCTCGGACAAGCTGGGACTATGATAACCGGATTATTTTTTTTTATTATTTAAGACCGTAACAATTTTTATGCACATTGGAAGGAAATAGAAGAGT